ACGATAGAGCAGAGGTTTGGAAAAGGAAGCTCCCTAGAGATGTTAGGCATCAGCTGATTGCTTCTATTGATTACCCAGGATTACATGTCTCATGTCATTACTTTAAAGAGATGTCTGCCTTATAACATCCCCCATCCTCAGAGTCTATATGCAACAGTTCTATGGATGGAAAAATAAGATCATGACATCGATATTTAAAATAATGCTAAATAATCTTGGTTTTCTGTGAACATGCAGACAGCATGAGGTCATCTGTTTGCTCACCAGCAGAATTGTATATTTTGACATTTTGAAGTGAAAAAGCTTCCTGGATGGGAACAGAAACCTCTTAAGACTTAGAAACAAAGTCCAGTGGATTGTTTTTTAAACTTCTTTGAAAAGGTTTTAGAGCTGTCAGATCTTTGCATCCCTAAATCCCTTCTGATCCCATTTTAGAAATCTACCAGCAGCCTTCATGCTTTTCTTTTATTTATTTACACTCTAACTTAAATAACAGAGAGATCAACTTTTAAAGTTTCTACTGATGAATGAAAGCGCTCACTTGTGTTTTTTCATAAAGTTATAAGGATCCATAGCAGCCATCCATCGTTTAAGTTTGATGGAGGTTTACCTTCATCCGAGTCCAGCCCGGTTGGATTGAGCGGATCTCCGCCGAGCAACGGCCTGCTGGCCTCCCGGTCTGCGCCGCTGACACCGCGGGACATTCTCCCGCTGACAGCCGATGCTCCTCTGGTCCTGTGTGGGAGATGTGTTCCTTCAGCTGTGGCTGGGTCTCATAACAGCTGAGTGACGGGCTAACACCGAGGCTAGCCTCCCACCACAGCAGCAGCAGCAGAAGAAGAAGGAGGAGGAGGAGGAGGAGGAGGAGCAGCAGGAGAACCAGGAAGTAAAAAAGGGCAGCCGCGGTTTCCACGTCCTGGGCGCAGCGTCTCCGCTCCTCCTGCTCGGTGCGGTCAATCTGCAGACAGCGGGCGGCGTGACGGTGCTCTGGCCTCGGTATTAGCGGCTACCTGACAGCCACACACAAACAAACAGGTTGTAGCGGTTAAAGGGGGTAACTTTACCTCCGCTTCGCTTTTTTTGGTTTTATTTTAAAAAAGAAAGCGAAGATGGCGACCAGCTCAGAGCGCAGCCCTCCTCCGTTCCCAGACACCGAGGACCAGGATGCTCAGGATCCTGAAGAAGTCCGAGGCCGAGACAGCGACGAGGACGACGGTGAAGAACTTTTCCTGAGTGCGGTACGTCTCCCCGGAGCGGTGGTCAGGCTAGCTGTTACCAACAGGGGAGCTAACAGCTGCTCCTCACCGAGACTCATCAACTCAAACCCTCTGGACACCTCGCTTTGCTCTCTGGCTTAATTAAACCCAAACCTTCCGCATAATTTTATAATGAAGCGGAGCAGCAGCGGCTCTCTCCTACCTGCCTCCAAACAGCTCCGACTGTATTTGAACGCATCAGCGCCTTTCTAAAAGTTTCATATCACGCGGAATTTGATCAGCAGGTTTTTTCTAATCAACTTCCCATTAGCTTTTCTGAAACGTGTGATTTGGGTTATGTTGTTTTGGGTTTTTTTTTAATCGCACTTCCACTATCCAGCGTGGACTTGCAACTAGCCAGATTTTTTTAGGGTGTGCTGCCTTCAAGGCCACGCGTGGGTAGCGTTAGCTAGAGCCTGGAGTCGGTGGCTTGATCGGCAGTCTGTGGTTGGTTAAGGGCATTTCTGACTGTTTTCCAGGCTGTTTTAATTCAGTTTGCATGGAGCTGGTAAAGCTGGCTCCTTCTTCATTCTATCACGTGAACCTGCAGTGGTCACGTGGTCAGAACCCGGATGTTTCTCAGTCAAAAGTTCAGATGAAAAACTGCAAAAGTTGCTGCCTTTTTCCTCTCTAAGGTTTGACTCATCACTGCAGTCAGCATTTTTTGATGTTTCAGTTAGCAGAGCTGCTTTCCTTTTTTTTTTTTTTTGTTTGAGGGGGGGTGATCTGGGTAATCTATCAACTCAGAGTTGCCTGGAAGGGGATTTGCAACTACACCCAAAAAAACTCTTGTCTGTTTCCCACGGGCAATCGTTGTGGTTTTTCTGTTTGTTTTTTCCCTCCTGCAGCAAACTGTGTTTCCTAACAAAGATTTAGCAAAGTGTGGCCATCAAAGTCAATAAAGGAACCAGGTGTAATTTCAGATGTATTGTTTAGCTTATTTGAAAAGGCATCATGATGAGATGGGCCTGTTCCTCTTCAACCTGAGCTCTGGACGCCCATCAGGGCATTTTGTTTTTGTTCCTCTCACTTTAGCTGCCTAGTAAAATGTTTTACAGTCCTTGAACTTTCCACATGTCGTTATGAGCAGAGGAGTTGGTGCCTTTTATTGGGTTGTGTCACTACTTTGTAGAAGCAGTCTGAGCTTCTTTGGGATCAGTTTCTGCCGGGTCAATAACTGCTCATTACGGTTCCTTTGGTTGAAGGAACCTTTCTACTCTTTTAGCAAAGTTAAAGGCAATTCTTTGTGTTATTTAAGTCAAAGTTACAGCTTCTAGAAGCACCTTTTCTGTAAGAGAGTCACTTCTTGGGTCCCTCTTTACCTTGACATCCACCTGTTTAGCATTGGTCTCTTGTTCCTCCTCTCAGAAACAAGCTTGAATCCAAGAATCTGATGCAGTAGTGACTGTTTGCTGCTCTGGTAATCCAGCCGGCTGCTTTGGATGTTTTGTTCTTTCATCAGTTGTATCCAAGTAAAAGGGAATAATGTTTTGTTTTCTCTCCTTATGCACTAATATTATTGAATAAATAGAGAACGGGGGGTTTGTGCTGCAGGATTAACAGCTTAGGTGTTGCCAAGTTTTGCTTTTGTTGTTCCAAGTTGATGTTTATGTAAAGATAATAATAGTAAACCCTCTCCTTTATCTCCAGACCAACACTCCCATGGCCACGAAGGAGAACACGTCTGCACCCGCCAGTCAGCCTGTCGACCTCATGAGCGATCCTTTGATGGAGCCCCTCAGCAGCCACACGGAAAACAAATCTCCCTCTGAAATGTTCGAGGACCTGACTAAGGATGTGTCAGCGGCGTCTGCTGCCACAGCAGAGAGCCTTTTGGATCAGGCCTCGGATGATTTCGTTGATGTCCTTGGAAGTAAAGCGGCAGCTGAAAGAGAAGAAGTGGATGTTACAGCTGAAGGCAGCGATGGGGCAACAGATTTACTCGGTGATGGAAAAAGCAATGCCAAACAGGAAACCCCTGCTGCTCCGGTTATGGACCTGGGTGGCTCGTCAGACATCAGCACACAGCAACCAGCCGTCTGCGACCCGCTGGTGGACCTTCTGGGGGACTCAACAGCAGCCTCTGCGTCCAGTGCCATAAAACCCAGCGGGGCAGTGATCGACCTCTTCGACGACGAGGGAAGTGACTTTTTCACCGGACCGCCTCCGACTCAAACTGCCAAGCAGCCTCAGAAAAGCCTGTTTGGTGACGGCGATGAGGATCTGTTCGGCGAGCCGCTGGGGGCCGTGTCGAAGAAAGCCCCCAGTATGGAGCAGAAGGAGAAATCCGCCCCGGCCCCTCCAGCTGCCGCAGCACCACCTGCAGACCTCTTCACTGAGGAAGCAGTCGGCTCGGCCCCAAACAGCAGAAACAGCAGAGCGGTGAACTCCAAGACCAACGGAGTCCATTCTGAGGAGGATTCAGATTTATTTGCTGGTGGGCTGATGGTTTCCAATCAGTTTAAGTTTATATTTCCTGCTAAATGTGTAAAGATCAAAGTTCAAAGCTAGTTTTCCTTTTTTTCTTCCTTTCTGTCCATCAGAAGCCACGGTGGAGCTTTCTCTGGATAGTCCAAGGACCGAGAGGAGGAAAGAGGCAGCAACCAAACCCTCCACCTCCGTCTCAGCAGCTGCCAGCCTCGCCAAATCCCAGCCTGCTCCCCCAGAAGAGGTACGCGCCCCTCTGGTTTATTCATTCACGTTCCTACCTTTGCCTACCAAGGCGGGGCTCTCTGTAGCCGTTAGTTTGGTGTCTGAGGAAGAAGGTGTCGCTTTATGTTTCTGGTTCACATTTACAGATTGAAGAAGAGGAAGAGGAGCTTCAGGATAAATTTGACATTAATGTCTTTGTGAAAGACCCTGAAAAAATAGGTGGGGACATTTTTTTTTTTTTTTTGCACCAATCATTATTTATGTGGTTTAATTAATCAGATCTTACTAAATAGAGCCTGATCTTGTTGTTTTCCAGGTGACGGTATGAACGCCTACATGGCCTATAAAGTATCAACACAGGTATGAAGTAAGAGCTAAATAAACCTGCTGCTTGAAGACCGACCTGCTGACATGTTGGCTTTTCCCTGCAGACCACCCTGCCCATGTTCCGCAGCAAAACCTTCACGGTGAAGCGGCGCTTCAGCGACTTCCTCGGCCTCTACGAGAAGCTCTCAGAAAAACATGGTCCCAACGGTCTAATCGTGCCTCCGCCTCCAGAGAAAAGCCTCCTAGGTTGACCCAGTGTGGAAAATCACTCCAATTTAAAAACATACAGTAGTAGCCATTCAGAATTTCCCCTCTTTCTCTGATGGGTCCTTGGCTAGTCCCATACAGTTCCTCTTTAAACATCTAAAACATCATTTTTTTCATGATCAGACCCTGTAGGTCAGTGAAAGGGTGGAGTTAGAGTACAGAATCATTCCAGTGGCTGGAAGTTGGAGGGGATATTGCTGGGAGTTGCAGGGAAGTAGGCTGGCTTTTGACTGGGAAAGGCAATTTTGAACGGCTGCTACTGTACATTTCATGTGATCAACCAAAGGTGTAGGTTATAATTACTAGCTGGATGTTACTCTCTAAATCAGTGGTCTCCAACCCTGGTCCTCAAGATCTACTGTCCTACAGATTTTAGATGCATCCCTGCTTCAGCACAGCTGAATCAAATGATTGATTACCTTTTCAAGCCATTCATTTGATTCAGCTGTGTTGAAGCAGGGATGCATCTAAAATCTGTAGGACAGTAGATCTTGAGGACCAGGGTTGGAGACCACTGCTCTAAATGATTAGAATCATTAAAAAAAGTAGATAAAAACTGGTAACAAACTTAACAAAACAAGGACAGGAGGTTTAGTCCCTAGCTTAAATTTTTAAGGCAGTTTTAAAATCTTTTTTCTTTGATTTCTGTTGGACTTTGACTAGGCCACTAGACTGATGTAGATAAGCTGGGGCTGGAAAGTGAAGCTCCAGCATTATCTCAGCTCCATCTGTCTTATCCCCACAGACTAATGCTGCCACTGCCATGTTTCATGCTGGGGTGTGAGTACTTGTTTTCTTTGTGCAGGGATGACAAAAGTAAAGGTGGGAAAGGAAGATTCCTCATCCGCAGACTTTCATGAAAGGAGGAGGGGTGCTTTGGAAAGGTGAGGATGACTGCCTGGCTAGAAAAACAGTCGTTAAATGTTTCATCAGGATTAACTGAGCCTTGCATTTTTTCCCCAGATATCTCCAGAGGGTGGTGAATCACCCGATGCTCCTGCAAGACCCTGATGTCAGAGAGTTTCTGGAGAAAGAGGAAGTGAGCTGCGTGTTTTATCCTGTCAACAGTAAAAACAGTTTAGATCAGGCAATGATTTAGTCTGATTGATTTTACAGAGAAACTCTGAATGCTGAATTTTCCTCCCATTTAGTTCTGAGGGGATAACTTTGGTTTGTTTTTGAGTTGCTACTGATGTTGTGTAACGTGTGTCTTCAGCTGCCCAGAGCTCACAGCACCCAGGCACTGAGCGGAGCGGGATTCCTGAAAATGATCACCAAGGCAACAGATGCTGTCAGTAAAATGACCATCAAGATGAATGAGTCGGATGTGGTGAGTGTGTAAACCTAAATTCCTGATCCTGACATTTTCACAAGAGGAAATCCTCTCTTGGTTTTACAAATTCAAATGTTGTCATAGAGTGGCACCAAAGTTTGATGACAGTTTGGTAGCTTTAATCCTGAAAGGATCAAACAAAAACTGCTTCTGGGTTGTTTAAGGCTCAGCTTCCAGCTTTTGTGAAGAAAGTTTCTGGCGCTTTGTTAGTTAGATTTAGTCATTAGGCATCATATTTTCCTGCAGTGGTGCAACATCGATCAGACAGAACTAAATGAGCTCCTATTGCTGTCAATAACTTCTCAATCCCAACCTGATCTTGACAGAGTGGGCAAAATGCTAACACCAACCAAAGAGGCTAGAAAGAAGGAATTCATGGCTGCAGCCTGTTGATGGAACAGATGGATTTGACAGTTTTGGAAAAAATGAATAAATAAACCTGGTTACCATGGCGGGCGAACAGGGCAGGGTTAACGGAGTCTAGGTTTAGGGCTCCTGTCGCACCTTGCTGATTTAGGCAGCGTATGCCTGACGTCCCGGAATCTCCTAAAACACTGGCATACGATGAACTTCTGATGTATTTTTTCAAGTATGGGCGAATACATAGAGTATTCATAACAAGTCCAAAGCGTATGTCCAACAACAGCCTAACTTATGCATAATGCACATGAAATGATCCTTGTGTATCATTTGATGGGCATTAGAAAGCATCAGTTAAAGCTGCTCCCCTCAGGAGCATCTCTGCACCGTAGGGGAGCAGCAATGCCCTCAGAGGCGCCTGGGCTGCATAAAAAGATGTCTTTGATCGCGGTATTAACCTAGCTGCTGTTTACCAACTGCCAAAAAAAAAAAGAATCAATAAAAAAGAAGGTTTGCAGTCGCAAAAGATTCCGCATCATATCTGCCAGAAAAGTTGGTTGGTTGTGAACGTAGGTAGGATCCATCACATTCACCTTTTCGCTCACCTATGATGGGGATGCAGGCTGGGGGAGAAATGACGTTTTCCTCAACCTTACATTACTCGTAGTTTCTGGATAAGCTAGACGCCATGACTTATGAGTGATGTACATTTAATGCATGTAAACGATCAGATAACTTACCTTAACTTATGGCCCCACATATGGCGTACACCACAGGAAATTTTGCCGTATGTCAGCTGGTATTTTGTGATGTGATGAACGGATGTGTCCCTGTGAGGAAGTAGCTGCTCATTTAGTTTGTTTTTTGTGCTGTTCTCTTCTAGTGGTTTGAGGAGAAACTGCAGGAGGTGGAATCAGCAGATCAGCAGTTTAGGAAGCTCCATGCTCTGGTTGAGTCCCTGGTTGTTCACAGAAAAGGTAAAGGGAAGCGTTTTCCCGGGACATCCACCAGGATTTCCTCCATTCATGCTTTTTCCCTTCAGCGAATCAGGAAGTATTATATCAGTTTTCCGTTTTTTCCTTCTGCTCGTCCAGAGCTGTCCCTGAACACAGCCAGCTTTGCCAAGAGTGCCGCCATGCTGGGCAGCGCAGAGGACAACACCGCCCTGTCCCGAGCCCTCTCTCAGCTGGCCGAGGTGGAGGACAAGATGGAGCAGCTCCACCAGGACCAAGCTTCCAACGACACATTCAGCTTCGCTGAACTGATCGCAGATTTCACCCGCCTGCTGGGAGCAGTCCGGGTACGTCGGCGAACCGCCACTTTACACAGAAACAACAGCTTCCTGGAGCCAGAGGTAGAACGCTGCAGTTTTCTGCCTGCAGGGGTCGTTTGACCAGCGGATGAAGGCGTGGCAGCGCTGGCAGGACGCTCAGGCCATGCTGCAGAAGAAGAGGGAGACGGAGGCCAAACTGTTGTGGGCCAACAAGCCCGACAAGCTGCAGCTAGCCAAGGAGGAGATTGTTGAGGTCTTTATTTTCTTTATTTTCAACACCTTAAGCTACACACATTCAAAACTGATCTTTGTTTCTGTCCCTGAAAACAGTGGGAGGCCAAAGTGACTCAGTATGAGCAAGAATTTGAGAGAGTTTCTGCAACCGTGCGCAAGGAAGTCGTCCGCTTCGAGGTACAACCTTTTTTTTTCTTTCTAGCTAAACTTCCCTCAGATAAATACGGATGATCCAGTTTTAAATTTCTTCTAACAGAAAGAAAAGACCAAGAATTTTAAGAGGCAGATAATCACATACCTGGAGTCTCTCCTTCAGTCTCAGCATCAGGTGAGTCTGCTTCCCTCCATCATGGCTGGAGGATTTCAACTTTAATGCCTTTTAGGAACAACAACCTGGGGAACAAGTTTTATTAGATTGTTTGCATTTTTTCCCATCAGAAAAGTTTTTAAATAAGGTTAGATGACAATGGAAACACATGAGCCGATAAACTAACGTCCAAAAACAAAAGGGCCAAATACTAATCACAGGCGTACAGATATATCAATGCATCTTTACATTTTTCTGCTTATCTTCTAATATAAGCAAAAATACTCCTGTTATACATCCAACTCTACCTCAGAGAGCCACAATATTTCCTTTGTTTACCTCAAATCAGAGTCCATGGAGCAGTAAGGGACAAACTGATATCATCTTTAAGGATATCAGTTTGGGGATTCTGTGACCACATTATGGTCAGAGAAATCCAGGCTGTCTCCTCCACAGGGAGACCTTCACATCGCCAGAGGAAGGCTGCTGGTTCTAATCTGGGTTCAGAGATGCGTTCATGGCAGGATAACTTTAGTTCTTCGTCTGAGTCGGTCAGACGCTCTTCTTCAGACTGATTATCATTTCTCTGTTTCCTACAGTTATCCTGTTCTTCTTGAAGTCATCAAAGCTATATTTTTAAGGGATTTAAATTTAACTGCAGTTTATTAGAAAATATATTTAAAGCAAATCTTGAAAGTGTGAGCACATCTACTTTAAAAATACTATTTGTTTCCAGTTAGTTTAGATCCTTCCAGAAGGTTGGCTTTGGTCTTTGGGGTTAAATGAGTTAAGTGAGGCAACATTGTGGCCACCTGACCCAAACTCTTCCTTTTATTCAGTTCTGTTCACCAGAAACAAACTAAGATCTTCAAATAAATCCGGCCTGTCATAAACTGCAACATGCTGGAAACTGCTTTTAATCCTAATCTCTACCACTGTGAATAGATGGAGATTAAACACAGACTGAGACTAAGAGAGGAATTGCTGCTAAATCATCAACTGTTATCTGAAATGAAATGTGCATCTGCTCAGAGATGATCTGAAGGTTGAATGTTAGAAGAAGGGCCCAGAAGTCTGTATAGAAATGTATAAAACACAAAGAACAGGCAGCATTATTGCTAGCATCATGCTACGGGGCAGTTTTTCTTCTCCTCTCTGGAATAACTTCACATTCCATAAATCTGTCTGAACAGCAGAGGGACGGATGAAGCAGGCCTTCTGAAACTGCTCTCTATACTCGCATTTTAAAACTGCTGGGAACGGTCCGAGCACGGTCACCAAGATAACTGTTGAGTGTAAACGGAACGCAACTGAACTGGACCGTGCCAGACACAACCAAACTGAGCTAGATCTAGAACTAGTTCATCCGTAGGGCTCGGAACGGTCCAGTTCTGGTTCGGTTCTCTGATAACAAAGAGTGAATGAGCTGACTCATTTCGCAGGGTGTCCGCTGTATGCACCAGATCTGCTCTGGCCCAGAGCATGCCAGTGACCTTCTGCTACATGATTGGCTGAACGTTGCCACATGATGTAAAACATTGTGTTTGCCCAGACAACGATAATAACATCACACAACGTCCATGTGCCGAGTCGGGAGCATCTGTAGCATTAGCCTGTCTAATGACCGATGAAGTTTTACCTGAACCATAACAAAACTGAAAAAAACAGTTGATATAAAGTGGGAGCGCTGTGGCTAGCTGTGCTACAGGTAGAATAACTGTTGTTTTATTTGTCTAAAATCTCCACAAAAGTAATTTTTTAAGATGTCCCATTTGTCCTCCTCCGATCTTAAAAAGAATAAAAATAAGTTCAGTCGTAGGAGGCAGTACTTTCCTTTAAGACTGACAATGATTGTTTTCTACTTTTGGCTACTTTAGATCACCAATGAAATGATCAGTAATAATATGTTGAGACTCCAAAAGAGGTGCAATAGTTTGTCTGAATAGATTTGCCGTATGATTAAGTCATTAGAAGGGGAAGGAGCAGTTCTGGTAGCTACACCGGCTTTGGAATTCACAGATCTTTTCACCTGTTCACAGCAGAAACTTCTCCTCTTATTAACGATACATTGCATGAAAAGAGCGCGGTGCGACCTGGGACGATGCTGAGACTGAGGCTCTTAGTGAAATTTGGGCAGAGGACGCTATCCAGGCACATACGATCCTGAATGTTGTGGGCGCCGCCATTTTTGTTTGCGTCTTTCCCGCATTGAGAGCTGTAGTATCATTGACACCGGATAGGAGCAAAGAACCGTGCTATTGTGATGTGTATCTGTATCTGCACAGTTAACCAATCCAAGCTTGGTCAAAAAACTATGCACGGATCGGTTTCACAAGGGAAGTGGAAATGGGGCAATTGTTTGGGGGCTGTTTGTAGAGGCCCTTCTTTTTAAAGACATTTTATGAGTTTTTACAGAAAAATATCTTTAAAATATCCTTTTTATGACCCTTAACAGTCAAGTCATGGTTTGATGAGCAGCCTGGCGGCTCAGTTGTTCAGCGCACATCCATCTATAATGCGGGGGCCTGTTTTCCTGAATGTACTTTGGGTCAGAAGTTCTCAAGTTGTTCTGCGGATGTGAAGTCAATCATCCATGTTGAATGGGTCCGACCCAGCAAACAATCGAAGCCTTATGTTCTAGATGGATTTTGTAGTTAATCAGAAGTCAAGGTGAGAAATTTCTCAAGGTGAGAAAATAAAATAAAAAAATAGAAACATTTAAATACAAGAAGGAGTAGAAGAGAGCTGCAGTTCATGCCTCTTTAATGCTGGAACTCCAGCCAGCTTCTTTAGGACCATTCATCCAAAAACCTCTGAAAGTTTAATTATTTGAGCTCATTCATATAATTTAGACCCTTTGTGAAGATTTGAGGTAAATTCTTGCTTTTAAAATGCATTGAATAAGCGTATCCTGAACACCAAAAATTTTTTTTTAACTGCTTTGATATAAACCTGAATGCCTCTGCAGCCAAAGCCAGGAGAGGCTGTGGATTTCAAAGATGTGAAATTAGAGGGAACAGCTCCCACTCATATGTTTTGTCTCTTTCAGCTGATCAAGTATTGGGAGGCGTTCCTACCTGAGGCCAAAGCCATCGCCTAGCAGCTGACCCTCTGCCTTCTTTATAAACTTTACCTCTTTTGCCTTGAAAGCAAGAAATGTGTGCATTGAAAAGGGAGATACATGAACATGTTTTGTAATACAATCATCTTTACTATATAGCTCTGTATTCTGTTGTATTAATAACTGTATATTTTCATTTATCCTTCCACAATATTTTCTTACTAGAGAAAAAAAATGAACAGCTAGAAATGAAAGGATTGTAGCTAAATGATTGCATTAGTTTCTGAGCTAGTGAATGGGCCAGAGCAGCGCCCCCTATGGGAGAGGAGGATCTCCTTTCAGTGGCTCCTCCTGCAGAGGAGGTTAGGCCGAAGGTGGCGGAGAGTCTCGCTCCGTTTCCAGCTTGTGATGAAACCTCAAAGGGATTAGATCACGTTTTTGAGCACTTCTAGCCTCTGGATTATCTTCAAGCACTAGTTGGTTTATTTGTCTTTTGCAGAATAAAGTAGAGGGGCTGAAACGGGGCTGTGGGTTTTTTTTTGTTCACTTTTTCAGTCATGAAAAACTTGTATGTGCCTTTATACTTGGAGATGATGTGAGTGGAGCTGAGGCTGTGTTCCTGAAACAGATGAGCATGTCTGGGCCTGTTTGTCATCGTGTCCATGATCAATCAGCAATCTACCAGCCATCAGCAGGCTTATAGAAGACTCAGCAGGTTGCAGCCATGGCGTCAAACTGGGATTTATGGATCTCAACAAGCTTTAGCTGGTAGGGCTGTTTTCTGTTCTGCTTTATGGAATTCTCAGTCCTCTGTTTCTCCAGATGAGCTAATGCCACCTGCACCAAAATTAAGAGCAACATGTCAGTTTTGACTTTAAAATCTAAATTTTCTGCTGATATTCCAAACGTTTGAAACATCCGTTAAAAACTAAGCTATTTTTTTAATAACTTGTATAATCCAAGGAAGAAGCAGAAAAACAAAGAAATATTTTTGTAGGTTATCATAAATAGAAAGTGTGAGAATCTGACTGTGCAGCTTAGCGGCATCCAGCAAACAGGAGGGACTTTAAAATCCAGAGCAACTCATGTTCCTGCTGAGCAGAGGAAATCACATACCTGCTTTGATTTGTTTCTTTCTCTTCATAGATCCCAAAAAATCCTGAGCTTTTTTTTCCCCTGTTTATTTACATGATTTTACACCACATTACTAAAACTGTTTGCCCTCCTACTGTGTCACTAATGTAATGTCAGGACATGCACTGTATCAGACATTTAAAAAAAATCAATAAAATTTTCACTGTTTACTCTTGGAAATGTTTTAGATACTTCTTTTTCATGAAAATCTTTTGTAGAAACATTTCAGTTTTGCAGGACATTTCTCAGGAAACTCTGACATCCAGGAGAGCATCACCTGGAGGTCAGAAACCTGCCGTGGAGTCCAGAGATGCTTAAAGTACATAAAGCTTGGTTAGAAACAAGCTTTTTTTTAAGCCCTTTTCTCAAAAACACAAAGGTTTTGGGATTTCCCCACTAACTCAGAACTGAAAGGTTTTGTAAGTTGTGCTGCATGATGCGTTTAATCGTTAGGGAAAAAAGGTTAGCATGCTAAGCATGCAGCCCTGAGGTTCCTTGGTGAACATATTCTTTTTGTCCACCTAAAACCAAAGTAATTTAGATTTGATGTGTTTATTCTGTTAGAAATCCTCATTTTTAATAAAAGGCAAACCTGTAAAATGTGGAATAAGTTCAAAGTCAATGTGAAGCACAACGATCTTGCATAACTGCAACACTGATTTTATAACAGAATCTGGTGAAAGCAATAAAAATGGCAGTTTAAGAGGATGATTGTAAAAAGGAGGGTGAAACATGTCAGCAGCTTTTACATTTACTGGCACCTTATTCCTTTAGAGTGGTCTAATGGTGGCTCTGACTGTAGCTATTATCTCTTCATTCCCAGACCCACCTCGCCTTTATGTCACATGTTCCTGTCCATTGTTCAAGGGCTGCTCAGTCCAACTGGAAATGACCCCAAGAACACAGGAGGGTGAGGTTCTGGTTTGGCTCTGGTTAACTTTAATAAATCTTATTATTCCATCAAATTTAAAGCAGGTTTTTCCCTAATTCCTCCAAATATACATTTATTCTGAAATATGAAGCAATGATTTTAGCCTCCATGTGCTTATTAATGAGAAGTCTGCTGTTTGGAAATAAAAAAACTTGCTGACATTCAAGATTTTTTACTGAGACCTAAATCAGTAGGGTGTCGCCGTCTGACTTTGAGGCCACTCTTCAAATTTGATGCCACCTTTTGTGACAGACTCATCAGAAGAAACCAACCAATACATTAAAGAAGCAGCCCAAAGTCTGACTCGGGTTCAATAGTTTAACTGAAGCTTTTAATGATGCTGTAAAACTGGCTTCAGTCATTATTTGGGAATTTAGCACTGAGACCTGATACTGAATATAATCAATATAATGGCTGAGAGGCTGAAAATAAAAGTTATGGTTCCAATTAATAAATGGTAAAATAAGGCAGTTACATCATCTTTGCTTTTCCATTTATTAAAAACTATTTACATTAAGATGTGCTGATACAAACTGTCACATGATGTGGTCCGCTAGCTGGGAACCTGCCATCCCTCAAAACGTGTTATCCACCTGATCAGAAAAGGCCGGCAAACTGAATAGAGGCAGCGGCTCAGTCCAATGAGCCACGGCGGGGGAACGACCAGATAAATGCGTCTAAAAGAAATCTTCACAACACATCAGAACACCAACAAAGAAAACACGCATCATTTTGGCAGCTGACAATGCAAAAAAAACAAAGTTATTCTATCGCAGATTAAGGTATGAAATAATCCTGCACACCGAGGGAATGACTCGGCATACATAAAGGGCGCCGTTAATGGTTCAGTCCGGCGTAAATCCAGGGCATGGATGGAGCCGCTTGAGCTCAAACCTTGCTTCAGCCCCTGATGGTAAAGTGCTGATTAGCTGTGTTTGCAGTGACATCATCTTAAGCCATGAGAGAGACGACTGTAATTCCACTTGGAGCCAAATCAGTCATTATGCTGAGAAAAAGCCAGACTTTTAATGGCAGGTTTGGGAGGGGAGCTGATGGCAGCCACAGGTTTACATACCCCGATCATTGAGCATCTCTCTGATCCTTCCTAGTCTTACAAGCTGGACTGGGATCAAAAATAAATATTCATCCTCTGCAATGAAGTCATGCTTTCCTGGGACACAGTCTGCTGTAATCCCGGCCCACATCCTGAAGGTCAACCCCTCCACCGCAGCCCAATCGGACCAAATTAATAAGGACTAAACTAATCAATGGATACTATATGCTTTTATGAGCTGCAACAGATGGCAAACACTTTAACACAATTAAACAGAAAGCTACTAGTAGGGGTGTATGAATATATTTAAGCTTGTTTGTATGATTTTTACCTAATGGGGTTTAAAGCTGCAATTAAAAAAAAGTTGTCTAATCAGTCCACCATGGAGGTAAAGCTGGGCCTGGTTCTGATCCAGTGTCAGGTTCTGAAGTGTGACGATTGACATACGCAACACTGTGGTGAGATTTCACAGCAAATAAAAAGTGACTTATCTGAAGCCAAATAAAGAAATAAACACCTCTGTGGTTCACATCAGTTCTGCTTAATAAACCTAAAACTCATGCAGGTTGGAAAGAACAGAGAGCTTTGGCAGCTATGGCCCAGTTCAAGTCGCGTTTCAGAGGATCCATATTTCTTCGTCTTGGGTTCATACATGTGAGCAGAAACATTCTTGTGTTGACTCATAGGATGCTTCAGGTTGAAGCTGGGCGGGGTTTAGAGATGGCTGCTCTTCATGGAGCTCATTCGGCGGCGGCTTGCGAGCCGTTTTTCACCACAGTCTGAGCGACGTACCGAAGAAGCCCTCCATGTTGGAAAAGGATCAGGTCCACATCGGAGTCAAACAGCGCTGTGACACAGAACGACGTTCCCTTGCTGGTCTGCAGGAAGAAAACAGAAGAACAGAGGACTCAGCAGACGGTCTAAGACGACATTTAAATGGACGTCGCTGAGGATCAGATCCCTACCCTGACGGTGAGCTGCTGCCTCAGACTCAGCCTCTCCGGCAGGATGATGCTAAACCGCTCCTTCCCGCTCAGCTCTAGCGTGTCGGCATTTTGGCCAGACAAGAACTGGAGCGGCATGATGCCCATGCCCACCAGCTGGTTCTTGTGAAGCTTCTCGAAGCTCTCTGCGATGACGCCGCGGACACCCTGGAAACACAGACCATCAGACAAGGTATCGATCCGAACAATTTGAACACCTAACCGGAGCGCAGGGCTGAAGGCTGCGTCATGCTGAGGGAGAACGATTAAAGTCCAGCTCTACAGCCTGTAGCGAGCACTCAGCAGAGAGCAGGAAGTCAATCAGTGGTTATTTAATGAATTAATGAGCAAAATCTGAAGGATTGGATCCATTTTGAAATTATTTACCAGGAGGTACGGCCCTTTAGCAACCCAGTCCCTAGAGTTCCCAGAACCGTAGTCTTTGCCTGCCAGGATGATGAGAGGAGTGCCGTCCCTCTGGTAGCGATCGGCTGCTTCAAAGACGTCAAGCTGGAAGGAAGCAAGGAAGGGAGGGGAGGGAGGGAGGGAGGGAGGGAGGAGACAGAGCAATATTCAGAAAAAAGTGTCTTCAAGCTTCCAGCAACCAAAGCTAAGTGTGATAAGGTTTCTACTCACTGTCTGGCCTGAAGGAATGTGGAGAGTCTTTGGACCTGGTTTGCCGATGAAGCGGTTGTGGAGCTTGATGCTGGCGAAGGTTCCTCTGGTCATCACAGCATCGTTTCCTCTGCGAGCGCCATACGAGTTAAACTCCCTCGGGGTCAATCTGGAGGAGAAGTCGATCAGGTTTAGGACAGCTGTGTGGCTCAGGGGCCCATCGTGGCTGCGGTTGGAAACTGACCGTTTGCTCTGCAGGTATTTGGCAGCGGCGCTGACCCTGGCAATGCTGCCTGCTGGCGAGATGTGGTCGGTGGTGACCTTGTCCCCAAGGAAAAGCAAGACATGGGCGTTTTCAATCGACTGCGGAGCAGGAACTTCTTTACTCTGAATTAAAAAAAGAAAAAATGGATACATGGATTAAGGAAGGAGGAGTGGTTCTGTGGTCCAGGAGAAGGGACAGGACATCCACGTTGAAGGTGGAAGGACTCACCAGTTTGCTGAAGAACGGAGGACAGCGGATGTATGTGGATCTGGGATCCCATGGGAAAAGCACAGAGTCTGGACATTCAATCTGGTTCCAATAGGTGTTCTCTTTCTAAGAGGAAAGCAAACATGCTGAAAAACCTTTTGGATCACAGGTTTCCCATAAACATAAGAGCAGAGCAGAGCAGATTCTAACCTCCATCCTCGTCCTGAGATCCTTAAAGATGGAGGAGATGACTGTATCCTCCTCGATCTGTTGGACCTCCTCTCTGGACGGCCAAATGTCACCGAGATACACCTCCTTACCCTCTGAAGTCCAACCTGCTCAAACATTTTCACATTTAGCAAGAACTTTATACTAAAACTGTTCCAGATTCTGCCCCCTACAGCTGAAAGATGAGAGGTAGGGGGAGATGAATACAGGATTTTCTGCCCAAGGTTAGTTAGAAATATGTCTTATTAATTTAGTCTAAAAAAAGAAACTTCTACTACAGTATTGCTTTATCTGTATTCCATTTTGAAGGCGGAGTTTGAGGTAGCAGTGCATTGTGGGTAGCAGAGTCAGTGGCAGTTAGGAACAAGAAACCCTGCCTATTAATGTACAAACCGCCTCCCGTGTCATCAATCCATTCTAACATCCCAGGAAGCAATGGCCGTAAGTTCAATGTGTGTTCTGCTTGGAGTGTTTATTCCAGTAATTAGCCATGTCCCAATAGGTTTTTGCATAGTAATGATAATGACTCTTTCTTAACAACATCTAAGGTTAATTGTAATTTATGTTTTCTGACACTAGAAGCGTATTGTGTGCATTTAGAGCTGCACAGAGCAGCTGGACTTACGTACAGATGGACTCTGTATTCTGATCAGGTGACAGAATGTTTGCATGAGGCTTTATTTAGCACTACCTTGTATTTTCTCCCCCATTATGCTCTATATTTTAAGAACACATCAAATGTTTATGGCAGTAAGTGGATGTCTCTACAGTGCATGAATCTATGCAGAGACATAGAGAGGAGGAAACTGCCTCTAATCTGGAGGAGTCTCCAGCTCTTCAGGAGGGGCTCGTCTTACCAAGAGGCTCTTTCTCAAAGTCGATTCCCACAGTCCCCGCCATGGCATAAGCAACCACCAGAGGGGGGGAGGCCAGATAGTTGGCTCGCACACAGTCACACAGGCGGCCTTCAAAGTGCCTGTTGCCAGACAATACACCACAAGCCACCAGATCCCCCTGAAATAACAAACCAGGTCACCTTCTGAAGGGAGGGGGGGCTGCAGGAGAAGGGGAGAACAGCACCGGCCAGAGTTTACCTTTCTGATGGCGTCGACCACAGCGTCTGGTAACGGTGCCGTGTTCCCCACACAGGTGGCGCAGCCATACCCGATCACCTCGAACCTGTCACAAAAACGCCTCAGTTATTTCCATCCTTAAAGGAGAGCCACTGCTGTGTTCGTCAATGATGAGGATGACAAAATTATTTCATTGATGCTCCTTTTTTTCATGACGATGACGAAAATCGACAAGCTAAACATGGATCTTTGATGCGTAAAACATGACTAGTCATATGTTTGAGTTTTTGTAAAAGAGACGAGACTAAATAAAATTAGGTCAGACGGTCAAATGCATCACTGTGAACACATGCTGCAGCAGCACAGCAGCAGCGTCCCCTTTGTCAATCCCTTCGTCTAACTATCAAGATTTTATTTCTTCCAGCTCAAAAGAGGTGATACTAAATATTCATGGAACATTCTTTACATTCTACTGAAAGGAATCCACAAATAATATTGAAATAAAATATTTAATTGAACTCTCTTTATTTTTGGATAAAGAGCCAGATGAAAAGGTACATAGATCTTTGAACATTTCTTTATCATAGTTGTTGTTTCTATCTGTTTAAATATGATGCAAATGTTTCCTTGTTCTGTCATTAAAAGGGTTAGGGTTAGCATTTAGGACTGGATTGTCATGGCATTACAAGGCAGTTATGTAGGTTATCTCTGTATTTTTTGTTATATCAAAACCCTGTGAATGTAAAGTAGAAAGAATGTTTTTGTTCTTTGCTTTTAATTCATCTGTGAGTGAAGCATAATTCATAGTAGATCAGGAAGTGTTTGCTTTAGGCTGGAAACCTTGTATGTTGAAAACCATTCCTTTATTGTACATTTTGTCAGTTTGTCTGTCTGCTATTTTAACAAATATGACGTGTTGAACTACATCTGCTATTTTCACAGCTTTTCCGAGACACTTTTGTATAAATTAGTGCATTAATTCATTAAAAAGTTTATTTGAATTCTATAAATCAGTTTTCTGCCCAACAGCAATGATGCACTGCACAGCAGCATTCTATACCCAGCTTTTGTAGCATCTAGGATAGAGCTGTCAGTCTGGGAAAGAATCTGGTTGTTATTCCAAATTGTAAAGTTTAGCTGTTTTTTGCTACATAAAACTGACTAAAACCTTTTGAAGTTTTAGTCAACTAACACCGTCTAAATCTATCGCATCGCGATGACTAAAATGTGACAGTCTTCAGGACGAAAACTATTATTATTCTAACACTAAATCCAAGATGGCTGTCAATTAACCAAACTGGCTAGAACCTCCTACTGCTTTACACTATTCTTTTCTCGTTTGAACGTTAATATTCAACTTTGAAACTGTTAACTCAGACAAGTTTAACACAAAGATACACAGAAACATAATGTCCATTTTTCTTGAAGTGCATTTTCCCCCGATTTAAGCAGGTAAGAATGATAATTGGCCAAAAATAAGATGATTTATGTTTAAAATTAAAAATAAATGAGTTAAAGTGCATAATATCTTAAGATCTTAAAATAAATTGAACTTTATTGATCTCACAATGGAGAAATTAAGTGCCTGGGGAGCGGTCCGGGGTTAAGGGTCTTGCTCAGAGACCCAGAATGGCAGTCTGTGGGAATGGGTTTCGAACGCACAACCTCAGGATTCCAAGCCCTATGCCATGGTGAACTGTAAAGTGCCTTGAAATGACGTGTTGTGAATTGGCGCTATATAAATAAACTGAACTGAATTAACAACTAGTCCACCACTACCCCAGATCTTTTATTCTAAGGGCATGGATAAACATTTCATTGGCAGATCCTCTAAAGCCTCTTTCCCACTTAAAATAGCGCTTGAAAATGTGTTTTTCAAACGTGGGTCGACCAGCTAACAATCAGTATTTGGTTCCCTTCTCACTGGCAAAAGGGAACAGCTGCATGGCCTCTGTCCCCGTGCCGCTGCATGTCTGCTGACGTCATCATGATGGGTTAGCACTGATGATGTCACCAGTGTGACAGAAATCAGGAAACAATTGAGCTGCCCTACAACCGATGGGTTGCCGGTACAAGCGCCAGTTTTTAGTGTCGTGTCCTTCACCTACTGATGGTGGCGCCTGTAAACGGCAAGCTGGCTTCTATCAGTGAGCCCCAGGGCAGCTGTGGCTACAGTGTAGCTCATCACCATCAGCAAACGGCTGAATGGAGTTTAAAGCCCGTCTCCTGACTTGAACAACACTGTATAAGCACAGGAACTTCGCCATTTCTAACTTGTGCTCTAAGCGAGCTGCCTTGTCAGCTAACAGCATAGCAAGTAAAGAATAAAGCAAACCATGCATCACAGAGATAACACACAAAGAACCAGCTACGAACAGGAAACAGTAAACTCCAGCATTAAAAAGAAAGAGACATGACAATTGTCTTCATCTGTGAGAAATTCTAATCCACAAAAAAAAACAAATTAAAGGATTTTAGAGGTTAGAGTTAGGTTAGGGATGTTTCTTTTTATAACCATTTTCAAAAATGATTTCCAAACCTTTTTTTTTGGAACGATTTTAATGACCACTGATGAACATAAATGAACCCTGAAGAAAATATTAGATTTCAAATCCTGTAAATTCTGTAAAAGATCAAACAATAATTAAGAAAAATAAACTATTTAAATTTTTCCTACTAATTTTAAAAATATTTCCTGAAATAATAGCATCTGGAGCCAATTGCTTTTTGCCAATCTAAGCACACCAAATGCAGAAGAAGCACTGGGGTCTGTGGTGCTGAGAACGGGCTTACCCCAGCTGGTTGAAGTAAGGCAGGACTCCACTGGCATTGAGGTAGTGGGTGACCATGCCGCTGCCAGGAGCCAGGCTGGTCCGGATGTAGGGCTTGACCACCAGCCCAGCTTCCACCGCCTTTTTGGCCAGAAGCCCTGTATACAACAAGGAAAGCATGAACCCTGTGTGGCTGAGGCAGCAAGATGCTCCATCTTTGTCTGAAAACTGGATTAAATATGCAGCTAGGACTAAAAGGAAAAAGCTCCAATCCGTGGGTCTTGTACCTGCAGTGAGCATGACGGACGGGTTGCAGTTGTTGGTGCAGCTGATGACGGCGGCGATGACCACTGAGCCGTGAGCCAGCTGGTACTCCTGACCACAGTGCAGAAAAGGGACGCGGATGTCCTGCTTGTCCTTGGAGATGTGGAAGCCTTTGAATCCCACCTGAGACAAGACAGAAGACACTGAATCCTCTGCCCCTTTAAGGCATCAGCAGCATCCTGACAGCAGGTAGTACCTTCTCATTCAGACAGCTCTGGAAGTCCTCCTTCATGCTGCTGACCGCCACTCTGTCCTGGGGTCTTTTGGGGCCACTCACATGTGGAACCATGGAGCTCAGGTTGATCTCAATCACCTGCACAGACATAGCTAGCTTTAACGTGGCTCAGACTGTCCGTCCTTTATTCCAGGTTCAGCAACCACATTTTACTCCAAGCAGACAGAAAGTAGCATGTGTAAAACAAACAGAGGTATATGAGGTATTTGAATAAACTAAAGTTAATTTATGTCAGGAATTCAATTCAAAAAGTGAAACTCTTCATGTAGACTTTCATTACAGACAATGCCACATATTTACAGTGTTAGTCTCAACTATGATGAAGCTACCAGCTTGAAGCTAATAAAAAAATCCTCAATCATATTTCCTTAGAAAAATTTAATGAGAAAAAATTCTGGAAAAAAAAAAAAAAAAGAGTTCTAATTATAAAAACATGAAAACAGGGCCAAGTGTTGGGAAACTAAATCCCACGTTAAAGTAGCTGGATGTTTCCAGAATGCAATATTCAGTAACATTATTGGAACGTTGAGTGAAAGGGGGAAAAAAGGTTAAAAAAAAAGGAGCAAAAGGGACAACCAGAACGTTGATGGAGAAACAAACCCCATTAGACAATATTTAATGCAAGCAAAGATAAGACGCCCCAAAAAAAACCCTGAGGCTTCTGAACACCTGGGAACAACAGGCTGTCCACCTCCACATCACCAAGCTAAGTTTCCTTTAATTTATATGGGAGGTTTTTTCCTCAATAATTTGGTTTGTTTCAATTAGATTATAGAGCAGGTTTGATGGCGGTTAGTAATGGATATTATTATAATAAACCTTAACTTTAGATTTTAGTACTAGCTTAAGTTTTTTTTCATACCTGGGTTAATTTTTAGAAAGGATAAAAAAAAATTTAAGTCAGTATAATATTTTTGATATCGCATGTGGTAAAAAAATAAAAAATGGTTGAGTCGCAACTGACTCTGTTGGGGGAAAAGGCGTATTAAAAAATAAATAGACAGGAAAACAAAGGTTATACACATCTATAATTTTAGTACATTTGAATTTAGTTCAGATTCACTTACTTATAGTTTTTCCTCTTTTTAATAAGCTTGTATTTATTTCCAATAAGAAATGTTTTCTCAATTTCAGTGTAATTATTAGTTTTAATCTATTATAATAACCTTGCACAGAAATAACAGTTTTTTCACTTTTTGAACTGAATTATTAGACAAAAAAAAAACAAAAAAAAACAGTTTTTTTCTTGGTTAAAATGTGATGTGAAATGACCTGGGAGAACTGAGGATCTTCTGATTCTTCATAGCTTCGGAAAAGATTTACAGCCTTCATGTAAGACTCCAACAATTCAAGTTTTTCCTCTGTGAAATCTGGAAGAGGGAAAGAAGAGGCGTTTCAGTAAAATGAGCCGACAGACGGGGGCCGGGGGACTCGGGTTACGTACTCGTCTTTTTAAAGTGCTTCAGTGTTATGTGATCGACGGGGAAGAAACTGATGGTAGCGTTGTATTCTGGACACATGTTGGCGATGGTGGTTCGGTCAGGAGCTGATAACTGGGACACACCCGGTCCAAAAAACTCAACGAACCTCCCAGAAATTCCAGCCTGGCGCAGTTGCTGGAAAAATGGGAGCGATGAAGAGGAGGCAGCTTTTAGTCAGGTTACATCTGATAAAGAGTTCATTCAGTTGAATGGAACCGTGTCTGATACCTTTGTGATGCCGAGGACGATGTCGATAGAGGTGGCCAGGGGGTTGATGGAGCCCACCAGCTTACAGCCCACCACCTGAGGTAGGGTCAGCGACACCGGTTGCCCCAGCATCACCGCTTCAGACTCAATTCCTCCGACCCCTGAGGAAAAACCAAAGGACTTCTGACTTTTTCCAAAGACTGCCAAAGTCTGAGTGGCCCAGAGGGTCAATTAGTGAGAAGAGGTTTTACCCCATCCAAGGACGCCCAGGCCATTGATCATGGTGGTGTGAGAGTCGGTGCCCACCACACTGTCGGGGTACATCAGACCACCGCTCACCTGGACCACCCTGGACAAGTACTCCAGATTCACCTGGTGGACGGTTCCGATGTCCGGAGGAATAACGTTCACACTTTTGAAAGCTTTAGAACACCACTGTCAGGAAACAGCAGAACCAAAAAGTCAGATTTATTTTTAGCCCTCCTGTGTAGAAGACAAACCAATCCTGATCATCAAACCTAAACACAAACTGAATCGGTACCTTGAAAAAATGAAGTCTCTCTTTGTTTCGTTGAAGCTCCATTTCCTGGTTCTTCAAAGCCGTTTCAACTCTGCAAACAGAACCAAAAACACACTAAGCTCCTGGAAGGAGACTGCACTGCCTTCCTGAAACCTAAATATGCATATCTGGACTTTACGACAATCTTGTATGAATTCTTTTATTTGCAGGAATTCAAGCTGAAGGTCTCTAGACAACCTCTGCTAAAAATTAGTCCAATGACTTTTAGAGAAACAGCTTCAAATCCTTCAACAGATTCTAGACTAAACTGAGGTCTAGACTTTGACTGGGCTGCTTAAACTTCAACAGGCTTTGTTCTACATTCCCCTGCAGTTCAGCTAGGGCCTTTCTTTCTGCTGAAGGGGAACCGCTGCCCTTCTCTGAAATATTTTCTAGCATCTAACAACATTTCTTTCTCCTGTATTTCGCCTCATGAATCTTAGTAATCTGCAGCTTCTCCAGAGCAACCAAAGTCATTTAATAAATGCTAGGCCTGAAATGATTGGTCAACAACCATGGAGGGACAGGTTCTGTTTAGGAAGGGAGTGAGTGAATCCATGTAGAAAATTTTGGCGTAAAAGGTCAAAGTCTTTCACAAGAGGAACAATCCATTAAAAAAAACAAAAAACACAAATGAACCAAAACCAGATTTGAGAGGCTTTTTTGAAGGAATGAATAGCGCTCTGAGAGATCATCAAAGATGAAGGTATGAGTGAATAACCTAGCCCTGCTTCAAGTTTTATCTGACCTGTTCATTAGTTAGATCACTAGAAGAAAACAAGCCTCTGATGCCTCACAGAGCAGCTGAATTCATACTGAGATGCTCTACAATCTACAGGCAGAGATTTATTTATGTGCATCAAAGTAAAAGGGGCCTAAAACACGCTGAAAAAAACCCACCAACAATTATCTAAATTTCCTATAATTATCATAGAAAGGTTTACTCCAATGCTGCATGGATGCACACAGTCTAACCCCCAGATTCCACATCCTCCATCACCGCCCCGCGCACGTCAAGCAGAGTACTCGTCCGTCATGTTAATCAATGAGAAGTATCCTACATCCTCTGCCACCCCACCGTCCCGTACGTCTTCTCCGTCACCACCAAAATACGGAGCCGAGCTATTTTTGCTCCACTCAGGACAGGTCAAGATCCACAATCACAATCGCGCCAAAAAGGAAAAAGAACATTGAGAAGATCTGGTTTGTCAAATTAAAATATATTATTGATAGATCGGTAACTGGAGATTAGAGCATTATTCTTACATATTCCCAAAAGCTAAGACTGTTTGATTAAATAATTGGAGGCAAATTATTGGTACTTCAAGGAAGCAGATTTCTCATCTCCATCAAAATATTTATTTCATAGCGAGAGGCTTAAAAGTTTAATCAAATCCAGTCACAACAACTTCCAAGAGCGCATCTGAAAAACCCCAAAAACTTCTTATCACAGGCATGGATGAAGAGATGCCGACTTTGGAGGTAGAAAACAAACATAGTTCATAAAAACACTATCTTGTATGATCCCAGTTATCCCTGTTACATAAATCCACAACAAAAAAGAAAATATTTGGGCAGAAACAGCACATATGCTTAATGCTGATGGGGATTTTTTTTTAATCTGTCATATTAAATTAAGCGTTCATTTTCGCATGTTTTGCTCGTATAAAATTAACAAGAATATTGTGAATGCTCTCCTTGAGCTCCAAGGAAGTCGGAGCAGAGCAAGACGGGAGGAACAGCGGAGGCTCTAGGCTTTGCTTTGTGCAGGTGGTCTGCAGCGCAGTGGGGCGGTGATGGAGGAGGTGGGATTTCGGTTTAAGGTGCTCAGCATCTTGTGCCATTCTGACCAACATGGCTTTAGAAGCACAACTCACTCAGAAACAGGCTGCAGGTGGAAGGGGCACAGGAGGGGAGTGTTTTCAATCTGCTGGACAGATGCAGGACGGCCTGAGGCGCTGGGGGGGTCGCTGCAGGAGGCTTTACTGCAGGAGCCCCGCTGGGTCCCACAGTGGGAAACCCCTCTGGACGGAGGCCTGGCCGGAGCTGGACGAGAAGGCTGGCTGGGGTTTGGCCCCTCCCCTCCACCTGGGTTTGGAGCGTTCCGAATGGCGCTGAAACCAAAGGTTCTGGTTTTGAATCAGAGCAGGAATTTCTCTAAAGATGATCATTAAACACAAAGGAACACACCATTTACTGTAATCGATTTGTAGAGAGTGGTCTATGATAAGGTCCGTGGGGCATTTAGGGTTAACTAGATTAGGGTCCAGGCCATGTTTGGCCACAGCGTCCCTCATGGCTGCCAGGTCCACCATAGCAGGAATTCCCCTGATAGAAACCAAAGCTTAAGTTCTTTTGTTTCCATTCAACGAGTTAAAACAGATTCCGTTTCCTTCTTTGTCAACCAACTCACGTGAAGTCCTGGAGGAGGACTCGCGCTGGAGAGAACGGCACTTCTGCCTTCTCCTGCTGCTGCTGCCAGTCCAGGATGTTCTGCACGTCCCTCTCTCTGGTGTAGAAGCCATCGCAGCTACGGATCGCCGCCTCCAGTAAGATCCGGATGGACAGAGGCAGTTTGTCTGCAGGCCACCAACACAGAAGAAGAAGAAGCATTGACCTGCCTGCTTCTGGTCACTGCTGAATGTTAACACAGACATGGTTGGAGGGCCTAAACTCACCGTATCTTGGGTCGCCTAATTTACGGGGGTTGAAGAACTTGATGCCATCTTTTAACGTGTCGATTAGATGGGCGTAGGGGTGCTCTGTAGAGGAGGTATTAACATCTAGATCAAGATGAACATTTACTAACCCTTTTCTAACCATAGCCACTTGTAATAAGATTTAGTAAAAACACACTGCTAAAGCCCCTTAATTAAAACAGTTCAACATTTCAATAACAGCATTTGTAGAAACAATGAGGATTTAGGAAAAGAAAGAAAGGTTAAAATCATGCAAGTGTGAAACGTAATGAAAAGTCCAAATGGTGAAAAGCCTCCTGAGCCTAAGATGAGCATCAAACACTTGCCTTCCGCTGTTCAGCATGATACTTTTCAAAGCAAACTGTGCAAACATGAGAGAATGTACAGAGGCATCCTTGCAATTGTTCACTATTGTAAACAGACAGGAGCAACATTCCTGCAAAGCAGATGATAAGCAGGAGAAACAGGCACACTTGGGGAAGCCTTATCTGATTTATCCACAGCATTTCTTGTGAACAGACTCAACAGAATGGTGGAGTTGCACCATGACATTTCTAAACCGGTATGGTAAGCTTTCCTGAAAGAAATGGGCTTTAAAAGGAAGCCGGCTAAAAACTGCTAAGATTTGACTTCACACATTTCCGATGGCTGCAAATCAAAGGTCTGGCTTGACCTGAAGACATTGTGTGGAATCTACAAGAGTTATTTCTTTTATTTAGGACTGCAACTAATGATTATTCTGCAATTCGATTAATCTGCTGATTAATTTTTCAATAATTGATTAATAATCAGATAGAAAAGGTACAAAAAAATACTTTTTATGAAATTAAACCAGGTGAAACTAAAACATTTCCAATCGAGGAGTTCAGGATAGAACATACTCTTAGATTGAAAAGGTTTTTTTTAATCTTGAATGCAAAATGTTGATATATTTCTCTACAATCTTGATATTTGTAGATATATTACTGCTCTAAGTGGGTCGCTCTGTCAGCTAAAGCCACATTTTAAAATCTCTATATTCCATTTAATGATTTATCGATTATTAAATTAGTTGACGGTTATTTCAATAATTGATAAATCACGATTAATGCGATTCATTGTTTTAGCCCTACTTTTATTGAAAAGCTGTAAATTATTGCAGGCTACTGCAGCAGATAGCATGACTAATCAAAATCCTAATATATGTAAAAGATATTATCCATGTAATGATGACTATATGTCATAACCTGTTAGACTTGAAACTAGCTGTGGCTTTTGCTATAACTAGAGGAATTTGGAACAAGTTTAAGATTTTCTTTTTCGAAATATTAGCCTAAAACTGTTCCACACTCAAGGTTACCATAAGACACATGAGAAATTAAGTTTAATAAGACTTAATTCAGCCCTTTAACCATAAAATGAAAAAATTGTTAGATAGATTAGTGCTAAAAAAATCTGTTATCAAAATCAGGCTCTAAACACAAACCATTTAATTAAAGAACAACTCAGGGCAGAACTTTAGTCAAAGCTGTATTGAAAATATTTACACTTTGGATTGAAGATAAAACCTTTTTCTGTAAAATGCTAGTTCATGTTCACTTTCTGACTGAAGTATGGTAGTTTTGTAAGAGTATCTCCTTTTTGAGATTATCATTTCACAGAGAAAGAATAATTACCAAAGTATCAATAATTGCACCTATATAGAGAGCTAATTAAGAGGGACAAGTTTGATCATTAATAAAAGAGACCCTGCCACCATCTGATAGACTTTCCTTAGCAGATCTAATTTCATTTGTTCACAAACATCCTTCAGCTTTTAATCTGTACAGCAGCTTGATTTACACATTGAAATTACCACTATGTTGGCTTTCAGGTATGTTCTCCTTACAGAAGTAAACATGCCTTTTTGTCATGAATAAAAAAATACCACCTATTGACAGACACTGGGGAGAGAGTAGCAGCCGGAAAGAGGGACACACAGGAACCACATTATGCTCCCAGCTCAATAGAGGCAATGGTGGAATAAATGAAAAATAATGTCAAAGTGCAAAGGAAAAATACAAATACACATTAATAGTGGACTATATAACTTTGTTTCATGTTGAAATCTTATAGAGACAAAATCTTCACTAGTATTAATAAAATTACAGCAAAACTTCAAAGTGATTGTTCATTAAATAACTGTCACTATGAGGAAATGGATGAACCAAAGTGGCAGATAAATGGATTTAGACTGATTTAAACTGGAAAAAAAAACATATTTATTCAGACATGGAAAAATACTTAAATAAAATTTCCCATTTAGTTTTTTCCACTAAAGGAAGTCTGATTCTTAGTACTAAGTGTTTGATTATATAGCGCTGAAAAAAAAAACATATTTTTACTTTTACAGTCTGCATTAAACTATAAATGTCAGTTTTTTGTGTTAACATTAATGAAAATGGTTTGATAATGTGGCAGCAAAATTATTTATTTAGCAACATCATGATCTATGTAGAGGTTATACTTTAATTTGAACGTTAATGTTCAGGGCAGTCGGTCAGTGTTATGAAGAAAAAAAAAAAGTAAAACATAATGAAATGTAATTCAAACGTGATGCATGATCATAGATGAAGCAATTATTATTATTAAGGGTTGGATCTTTGTTTACTGTTATAGACAGGCTAAAGTCATCAGTTTATTAAACAATTTATTTATTTTTTAAGAAAGACGCACTTTTTAAGAAACACACACAGAAAAGTGGAAATATTATAATGGATGTAAATGTCCATTGTGAAAATGGTGAGCATCTGCTTACAAATAAAACATCATAGCGTAAAAACAAGGTGAGAGAGAGAAAGGTGCTCGGCTAGCAGCTGCTAACCTGTTAGCCACTTATCGTGAAACACACTGGCGCAGTGAACTTATCGAGCTGAACGTCTTCCAGAGATAACAACAACCCTTTAGCTATAAGACAAGCAACATGCGTTTCGGTTAGGTTGGTGGCACTGGTTTAAAATAAATTACACCACGGTTATCCGGCTTTAGCGTTTTCAGACGAGCTCTTATCAGAGTCATCAGAGAAGCTACAGGCTACATGCTAGCTTATCTGAGGCCGAAGCATTTTATATAACGCTCACATGACACAAGCGGAGGTTCCTCTACCGGCTAGGAGGCCGTTTTAAGCCCGCTTCGATTTCGGTTAGATTACTTAGGTTTACCACTAACAGTTGTCTGAGAAGCGTTGACAGAAGGCTCATTTTTACCTTTTAATGTCGCACTGACCGCCATGATGACTTCAGAAATGAATACACGGCCGGGGACCGGCCCTCCCCACATCGCACATCCAACCATAGGCCAACCAATCACAACACAGCAAGCAGCAAACCACCCAATCAGAGAACGGATCTGTTTGAGCACGCCCAACCCAGAAATGCTGTATAATAAACATTTTTTAAATGTAAAAAAAAAAAAAAAAAATCGTTTTTTTTTACACTAAAAGATCAAAAGGAGAAAAGGGGGGGTTGTCCCAGGCGAGAGAGAGGAATCGTCCCCCCTGCAGTATACAGTGATTTCAGCTTACATCTCTTGCAATTGAATGTGCTCAAAATAAATATATTTGTTTAAAATTTGTCACCTTTATTATTTTCTAGATTTATTCCACTTTTTTTTTCGAAAAAGTTTCATGCATCATCTGGAAGATCTATTTTACCTTGTTTCGAAGACTTTTTGTGCAAATATGATTAAAACATAAAAGTCAGAAAGATAGAAATGAAAACTCTACATCTCTTCCAGAGTCTGGAATCATGGCTGACTGGAGAGTTTTGCATTGCAATGATCAAACTTACCATTAACTAAAGTGAGCGTTAGAATTGTTAAGGGAACGATTTCAGACTAAATGAATGGAGTGAATGGCGCTGTGTCTTTAAAAATTGTGTTGTGATGTGATGCCATACATGGTGCTTTCAAGGCACCTCGGACTATTTGTTTGTTGGACGGTAACTAGTGAAATGAACAAATGTTTATTGCTATTATCTGAAAACTTTGGCATCATTTTAACAAATGTCTCCTTTTTTAATCTTTTGTAAATCTTGTTACCAAATTGTTCCAATCTTTTACCAGCTATAATAGTAAAATGTATCCCGGAAGAACTAGACTGTATGTCACAAGCTAATCTATATATCTTATTGATTAATTTGGGGTGGGTGGGTGTGGGGTGTTTATATTTAGAATCGAAAAGGTATTTTTGTATACCACAACACCGTACTTGTAATTGTGTTGAGTGTGTCTTGTGTAGGATCCCGACATGACCGTGAATGCATCACCTTCGCTCAATTACACAAACATCTGACAATGTAAATATTTCAGTTACACGAATCCGAGCAGATTGTCTGTTTTTTTTTTTTATCGCGTTTTCTAATTTAAAGTAGGGTACCAGTTTAGGGGTGTGTAGTTGAAAAGCGAAGGCTGCTGACCTTTCACCTTTTCTGTGTTTGTGCAGAGAACGGTTAATGGACGGAAGACATGAGCAGCAGAACAGGCCGTCCAAATGTAATTCATGAACTCCACTCATCAGACTCCAAGGACCGGTGAGCTACGTGACTCTTCGGGTGAGTTCGGTTAACATTATCGCATTGTGGATCTTGGACAAGAAAGTCTTCTTCAGTTTGTTGTTTCAGCTCGAGGGCGATTTATTTTGAAGGGTCTGCAACGTGGAACGAAATAACCGTTTCGTTACTTTAGTCTTCTTGAAACCATTCAAAAGTGATACCTTCAATTCCGGACAAAACTAAAGATCATATGTTTGCTTTTGATTACACTGCACGTGTCCTTTGTATAGCGATTGAATTTATTTTTCACGTTTTTTTCGGTGTTGCAACTTGCAGACGGTCCCTGCGCGGTCACAGCGCATGGAGAGCAATGCCTAGCCTCTAGTGCGAAATACGTCCCCTTTAGAGAACAACATGAGTGTAGCTGTGCTGCGATTGGAGTGAGTTGTTGGTTTTGTAGAAAGGCTGTTCCGCTGCTGAGTTATTGGAACGGAAATGCCGAAGCTGGGAATACCACGCTGCGACTGGCCAACCTTCCTTCTTCCTTCAAAACATAAACACGTTATTGATTGATGGATAAAACGTTTACAGGACTGATTGGTCTTCTATGGTTGGATATTGGATATTATTTACTGCAGTTGGGGACGAACTGGGTCCTTTCCTCGTTCCTCTCCTGTGGTTTATTTTTCCACAGATCTAACTGGCCCTTACAGCCACCTGGCATCACTTCCTGTTTTATAAAGCCGTTACACACTGTTTTACTTCTTTGGTCTAATTTCTAATGTGTGCAATCTTAGCAGACAAGCTGCTAGTTGTGTTTGAATGTGTCCAAATTAGGCAATATTAGGCAGTTACCTAGGGCCCCAAGTTCCTGGGACCCCCATAAAACTCCGTTTACATGCCTGGTTAAAACAACTATTCCTTATTTTTGCACATTAATTATGTTTTTGATAAAAATCCTTTCACTAAAATGCCATAAGAACGCATATATTATTAGGTGTGTCTCAGCACCAACTGTGTTATTTACTTTTGCCATTGCCTTTTTGGAAGGAGCACGAGGATTAGGGCCAGGGGGGGGGCTGATTTTTAAATTTTATTTCAGTTTAGTTCAGAATTCTGACTTTAATCTTAGAATTCTGACTGAATTCTGACAATAAAAAAAGTCAGAATTCTGAGATAAAAGTCAGAATTCTGAGATAAAAGTCAGAATTCTGACCTTTTTCCCCATACTAAACTGAAATAAAATTTAAAAATCAGTTAACTTTTTTTTTTTCCAGTGGCTCTAATCCTCTTCCGTAGCAATCATTGCTTTTGAGACAGCATGAAAAGTCAGCTGAGTACAAAACAGAGAGGAAAACAACAAGTAGAGAGGGACAAAGCGTAGAACAAATAATGTATGTCTATTCTATTAACATTTCTCTATCTGTATAATGGATCTGTTTTATGTGTTGTCTTCTCAATTCGGAGGGCCCCCTGCCTGACTTTGCCTAGGACCCAAAATTTCCTATATCACCCCCTGCATCCAGGTCATGTATGAGGTCTATGGTCAGGAGGGGGCGCAACATATCTGCAGATCCCACACATTCTGGATGCAAACCATTCTGTATGAAATTAGTAATCGACCAATGCATATGCAGGCCGATATTTCTACCAATAATGTAGATTTTTTACTTTTAATACCCGATAAATTCATGCGTTGGCATAAGTGCATTCAGCAGTCATGCCTAAATAATAAATGCTTAGATTGATTTTTTTCTTTTACTAAAGGTTAATTTTTTGTTTAAATTGAGACTTTTTCAACATTTATTTTATCCATGTGTAATACTATCATGAAATGGAGGCTGTTTATTCAAAAATATTGAATAAACAGCTATATTCAATATTTTTGGAATCAGTCCAAAAATATTGGCAGCATGTTTGGTTAGAAAGATGTCAATATACGGTAAGTGGTATTGGCATCAGCCAAGAAAAACTACATGGGTCGATCTTTTGGTTAAATGGTCCAACAGTCCAACCCATCATCTGAAAATCCCGAGTTTACCAGTGTGACAGTGGTTCTCCTTAGTGGGACAGAGAAGCTGTCAGAGTGGACAGGAAAATATGTGGAAGAAAAGCAACTTAAGACTGCAAAGGACACCAGGCTTATTTAGTTTTAGTTTCATTAAACACTCGGGTTTTCTGTTGGTTAAAAAAGAAAAACATGCTTTGTTTTCTTCTGTTAATGATCTATGACATCGCAATTCATTAAAACCCATTATAGATTTTGGGTGTAATTTCCAGCTGCATGAATGCTTTTATATTGCTTTTTTTTTTATAACGCTTTTATATAATGAGGTTTTCATCTGTTTTAATCCCACCTGATTTGCATTGGTCTGCTGCTGTCTGAACGACTATGAAAAAAAAATAGGAGGAAGTAGAGAAAGGCAGAGATGAATGGAAGGAAAAAAGATGTTACATCTTCTGATTCATTCAATAATTCTGTTCTTTGCAGGTATGGAAGCACTGAGGTTTAGGACAGCGTAGCTGTGGCTTCAAGGCCTGACGGCAGCATGCAACAGAAAGGTTCCCTCAAGATCATCGAATGGGAGGATTTGGACAAGAGGAAGTTCTACTCCCTAGGTGTATTCATGACATTGACCACCAGGGCCACCGTCTATCCAGCCAGCCTGATCCGGACCCGACTGCAGGTGCAGAAAGGGAAGGCCTTATATTCAGGCACCTTTGATGCTTTCTGCAAGATCCTGCGAACGGAAGGCATTGGAGGCCTCTACCGAGGCTTCATGGTCAACACCTTCACTCTGATCTCAGGACAGGCGTACATCACCACCTATGAACTGGTGCGCAAGTACACGTCGAACTACTCACCGAGCAACACGGTCAAGTCAGTGGTGGCCGGAGGAGCGGCGTCGCTGGTGGCCCAGACCATCACCGTTCCCATCGATATAGTGTCCCAGCACCTGATGATGCAGGGGCAGGGGGAACATCTGACCCGCTTCAAGGTCAAACCCAAGGTGATGCTTGCCACAACCAAATGCAAGCCTACCTTCGGGCAAACGCGGGACATAACAGTGCAGATACTGGCAGCGGATGGTTTCAGAGGGTTCTACAGGGGTTATGTAGCGTCGCTGCTCACATACATCCCCAACAGCGCCCTCTGGTGGCCTTTTTATCACTTTTATGGAGGTAAATACACCCATTGGTTCAGTGTGTTCTGCCAGCACTAACCCTATACACTGACACAGATGAACAAACCAGACAAAATGTCTTCTGAATCAACAACCAGCTCTCTTACTCAGCATGATCAATCTGTTTAATATGGTGTGTTTTTCTAGAAAAACTGTCCTTAATGGCACCGAGTGGGTGTCCCCACCTGATCCTGCAGGCTGTGGCCGGACCAATGGCAGCAGCTACCGCCTCCACCATCACAAACCCCATGGATGTTGTCCGTGCAAGAGTCCAGGTTGGCACCTTTGCATACATTCCACAGACCAATGGGACCATGCACATGATTACAGTACTTCTTTGTAATTATGACAAAGAATTCATCACTCAGCATTTTATAAGAAATGTTCATATTCAAACCTCAGATCTGTAGATTTGGTAGCTCCTGACTGAACCTCAGGATGCAAGTCAGAAAGCTGCTTTCAGAGGAAAGATTGAAGCGTCTCATGATGGGTTTGGGTCCATGCAAGTTTGCCATTGGCTTTTCCACTTAAGAACAAAATAGCCAATAAGGCTAGCAGGTTCAATGGAAAAAAAGGAAGATGGCAGCATCTGGAGTTCATCCTAGGAAGGGACCAGAACATCCTAAAAAAAGTTTCCAAATAAGCAGCCATCATAGGATTAATACTGGATTCTAAAGCACACCCCCCATGAAGGAATGAGCCATCTCTATTTTGAGGAGAATTTGAAGCCAGCCACCATGTTTCGCTGGGGGGGTCTCGTTCTTTTGGTCAGATTTATGTGATCAAAATATTGCTTTAAGGGCCTGGAAGTATAACAAAATGATTATTGTGAAACACAGAAAACTTGGGTTGGACTTTAAGGTATTTAGCTTTGTGAATAAAGAACTTCACCGGAATGATGAATGTTCCATAAATGTCTCTGTAAGAAAACATTTCCAGAAAAGGAATTTTAGGGAATGACCAGGTAAAAAACGGTGTCCTTGAACCCCAGTGGGCCTCAGCAGATGGCCGCTCACACTGAGCCTGGTTCTGCTGGAGGTTTCTTCCTGTTCAAAGGGAGTTTTTCCTCTCCATGGTCGCTGCAAGCATGCTTAGTGTGAGGGATTGCCTTCGAATCAATAAGCGGATGCAATCAACTGGTTTCCTTTAGATGGAAAACTTTGAATCGAATTGACTGTATGATCTGGTTGAACTGTAAAGTGCCTTTAGATGAGGTGTTATGAATTGGAGCTATAGAAATAAACTGAATAAAAAATTTTTTATCAGTCAACAGATGAATAAATGTTGAGTTCTTAGCCAATCACAGCAGCAGTAGCAGCTGTGACGTATTCCATTCTTGATTTGTTTCACAGAGTTGACTGATAAATCAAACTCTTATCAAATCCGGTCAGGGGGGACCAGCAAACATCCTCTTATTCATAAAAGCACAACTCGCCTAATTTTGCTGGCTTAAAAAAAAAAAAAGAGGGTAACAAGTTAAAGCCAGAGCAGCCATCTTTGTTTTTCTTCCAAGATGTATTTTCGAGAGTCGGTGAATTTACAAATCTCGCGAGGTAAATGTTTGATATGTATTGTTCATACCTGAGAGACAGAACAAAACCAAAAAAGCTTGTGAACAATTAAGCTCCTTGGTGCTGCTGCCTGATGGACGGCCCTGTCCTATCTGCCATTTTGACAGAAAAATGCACACAAAACAATTAAACATATGAGCCAGGAAGGAAGTCAGACCTGGACACTTGGATGACTAAAACGGATAATAAAGCTAAGAGGCTATTTGGATCACACACATTTCCAATGTGGTTTTCCACACGGCATATTTGGCAACAGAGCTCAGTACAGGAGCAGCTCCTCCAGGCAACAGCATGGTAGCCATCAGAGGTCATTCTCTGATGTGACAACAAATGGGTTTGGGTAGTTCGATCTGGAGCTAAACGTCAAGATTGTTTTTAGAAGCACAAGGTAACAAAGTTCCTTTTTTTTACCACTATTAAATGTGTCAGAAGCTCCAGAATTGAATGTACACATCTTCTTAAATATAAAGCTTAGCAGGTTCAACAAACAGCTTTATTCATTTAGAAATGGTCTTATCAGGCAAAACTCTCTCATGATGGCAACAACAGGATGGAGGGAAGGGTTCCCATCATGTGGCCAGAAAGTCATGAAAACAACTCAACTCAACTCAGTTTATTTCTATAGCGCCAAATTCAGAACACAAGTCATCTCAAGGCATTTTACAGTTCAACCAGATCATCCAGTCAAATTGATACAAAGTTTTCTATCTAAGGTAAACCAGTTGATTGCATCGACTCATTGACTCAAATACAATCCCTCACATTAAGCATGCTTGTAGCGAAAGTGGAGAGGAAAAACTTCCTTTGAACAGGAAGAAACCTCCAGCAGAACCAGGCTCAGAGTGAGCGGCCATCTGCTGAGGCCGACTGGGGTTCAAGGAGACAGAAGCAGAGACACAAAAAGCAGCTGCAAAATGCGGCCCCATTCAAGAAACACACAGCCAGGCAGAGGAGCTCTGAGCCAGCTCCTATGTCAGAGGACAAAGAGAGCACATCCACTCAGTCAGAGAAACA